AAAAAAAAACAGGTAGCCCATCTGAATTAGGACATTTAGGCTATCCATCTAATAGTAGCCTACCAAAATCTTATTAACAGTAGAAGTTAAAGCTTACTGTAGTCTTCAAATCTGGGTACTGTCTTACGTTTTAAAATCACAAAGGGAGTTTGGTCCCATCAGGCTAACGTGACAGTCACGACTCATGCAGCTGTAAGGTTTTCTTTTTCTTTTTTTATTTTTACTCGCGATCTTTACAACACGCATTATATTACGTATTTCATGGCACACTCATTTTATGCGTATTTGGCGCCACCTATTGTTGTGGGTGTATTATTGACATGTCAAAGTCTAGACCCTGAATATAAGACGACCGCATTTTTTCAGATGTATTTCCAAGAAAAAAACATTGTCTTATATTTGGGTCAATACTGTAGTGAGTGTACAGCTTGTATAACAGTGTAAATTTGCTGTCCCCTCAAAATAACTCAACACACAGCCATTAATGGCTAAACCGCAGGCCACAAAAGTGAGTACATAGTGTCAATATTTTGTGTGGCCACCATTATTTTCCAGCACTGCCTTAACCCTCTTGGGCATGGAGTTCACCAGAGCTTCACAGGTTGCCACTGGAGTCCTCTTCCACTCCTCCATGACGACATCACAGAGCTGGAAACGAAATTTAACACACCTGCTCCCCATTCACACCTGAGACCTTGTAACACTAATGAGTCACATGACACCGGGGAGAGAAAATGGCTAATTGGGCCCAATTTGGACATTTTCACTTAGGGGTGTACTCACTTTTGTGGCCAGCAGTTTAGACATTAATGGCTGTGTGTTGAGTTACTTCGAGGGAACAGCAAATTTACACTGTTATACAAGCTGTACACTCACTACTTTACATTGTAGCAGTGTGTCATTTCTTCAGTGTTGTCACATGAAAAGATATAATAAAATATTTACAAAAATGTGAGGGGTGTACTCACTTCTGTGAGATACTGTATATATATATAGTGGTGGCCAAAATGATTAGAACATCCAGTGCTCCACACAGAGATCTCATCTCATCATCATCATGATGATGAGATCAGATCTCTCTGTGGAACACTGGCTGTTGTCAGGCTCCTTGTGCAAACAAAAATCTCACTGGATTATTACTGATTAATTAATGACAAAATGAATGTTTGGAAATGTAAATTGATATTTCCTACTGACACACTACAGCAAAAGATAGAAATAACTTACTTCAAACTATTTTTTTAGCTGGTGAAAATGCTAGTGTTTTGATCATTTTGGCCACCACTATATATATATATATACAAACCCAATTCCAAAAAAGTTGGGACACTGTACAAATTGTGAGTAAAAAAGGAATGGAATAATTACAAATCTCATAAACTTATATTTTATTCACAATAGAATATAGATAACATATCAAATGTTGAAAGTGAGACATTTTGAAATGTCATGCCAAATATTGGCTTTGTTGTTGTTTTTTTTAAATAAAGAACAATAAAAAAATATAAATATAAAGTAGAATTATAATAGAATAGAAAGTGTTAGAGTTAGAGGGTCAAATAAAGGTGGAACAGATGTGTTTTTAGTCGTTTCTTGAAGATGGCTAAGGACTCAGCTGCTCGGATTGATTTGGGCAGGTCATTCCAACAGGAGGGAACAGTTAGTGAAAAAGTCTGTGAAAGGGATTTTGTGCCTCTTTTAGATGGCACAATAATACGCCGTTCACTAGCAGGACGTAAGCTTCTAGAGGGCACATAACTCTGAAGTAATGAATTTAGGTAAGTGGGTGCAGAGCCAGTGGCGGTTTTGTAGGCAAACATTAATGCCTTGAATTTAATGCGAGCAGCTACTGGTAGCCAGTGCAAATTGATGAACAGAGGTGTGACGTGTTCTTTTCAGCTCATTAAAGATTAATCTTGCAGTGGCATTTTGGATTAATTGTAGAGGTTTGATAGAAGTGGCTGGAAGACCTGCCAAGAGAGCA